CTTCCACCCGTTTGCCCCCCCTATTTTTTTTTTTTTGAAATTTTATTTCGAGAAATTTAAGAAGGACAGAAAGAAAACTGTCTCGTTTTTCTGTGGCTGTGCTGCCTGCTGGTTTTCGCTCAATTGATATTATAAAAGAAACTCGAATTGTCACCCATTTGTCTTTAATTGGACACCTGAAAGTTTAATGCGCTCCAATATATATATATATATATATATATATATATATATATATATATATATATATATATATATATATATATATATATATATATATATATATATGTTTTTTTTTTTAAGTACAGACGGGGCCCCTTTTGTGGGGGTCGGTGTTTTCTTCATACCTGATGCTGTACACCTACTTTTCACGATCGCTGCGCTCGTGGGGTGGGTGCGCCCTGCGTGTGTGTGCGTGTTTTTTTTTTTCAATGGGACAACGTGCTGGGTGGGCATAAACCGTCTGTCTTTCCCTCCCTCTTTCTGAGCCGTATAAGAGCCGAACTGTTATGGAGACCCCTTCACACTGCAGTTCGCTGTTACTGGGAGAAGATGAGCACACGGATAATGAAATCCAACCCTGCCATGAAGCTAATAGTGGTGAGTAACCAGACTTTCGCATTTTCCGCGCGGCTCGCTGGAATTCCAGATGTTGTTCACCAGGAGCAGATCCGTCCTGTTTCATCCTGACGCGGACGCTTTTAGAGTCGGCGTGAGGAGGCTCCCTCCGTTTCTTGTTCTCGTTTTCTGTGCGGCTTTCGAGTCACCCAGATGCTGAGCGTGAAGCTGAGGGGGAAACGCAACATTCCCTGCTTTGCGCCGGGTTGCGCGGTCAGTCGCTGCAGGTAGCTTTCCGGGCTCCACATTGTCATGTTCGCCACACTCGCACACCTTCCTCTTTTAACTCAGCGAACCAATTTATGTCATCAAATGTAATTGCTGCTCACTGACACCGTTATCGTTCAGTTGAGAGTCGTGCATTAGTTGCTGAAAATAGTTAATAGGATAAAGGACTGGTTCAACTTTACAGGCTGTGTTATTACACTGTGTATTTAAATTTTGCTAAGAAATACTGTCTTAATTTCATGTCATGTGAAACTCCCACCAACATTTCTGATCATTAATAAATTCTTTCTCCTTATTGCTGTTTGCCTCCACTAATGGGCCCATTTTTCACATTAATAAACTCATACAAACAAAAATATGTAATCCAGCCCTGAAGGTCAGTTTACTTTAGCTCACATTTCATTGCTTTTCCTCATGCGCCTTTACAATGAATGATATTTCACTCTCCCAGGCCGACCCCTCCTCCCCTTCCTCTTAGGTTATGTTTGACATGACACCAGCATGTTGTTTTTGAAATGTTCGCCTCTTGGATCAAAGCAGCATGCTTTGCATGCTGTGCAGACCTCTAAGGTTTTGCATATGGTAATAGCGATGTGTATCAGGTCGATGTGTGTGGGTCACACTCTGTGACCCACAACACTCGCTTCACTATCTGTCACTGTGTTTTGTGTGTGTGTGTGTGTGTGTGTGGGGGGGGGGGGGGGGGGTGTTTGTCACACAGCTGTGAAAGGAGCCCATGTTTTGGATGAATCCCGGTCGGTTAGAGATTCTGTTTGTGTGATGTATTCAAAGGACCAGGGTCTTTTCATGCAAATGACTGGTGAGAGCGCAGCGACTTTGTGTGCTCACCTCTTGGGGTGTTATGATTACAGATCAGGTCCTCTCTGACCCAACTGAATCTTTTGCTCCCTAAATGGTTCATTTTCAGTAGTACATGATGCTCTGAGTTTTCCCTCTAACAAGGGAATATTTCTTCCTCACCTGTCTGCTTTGGTGTTTTCCCACCTTCCTGTAATACATGTTCCTCTCTTATAAAACAAATGCATTTTGTTTGAGTTTTTTCCCGTATGCAGTCAGTGGAAAACCTAATGCAGCCTATTTGGATGAGAAGATATATATGAGAAGTGCAAAATAGTCTAAGCAGGTGTGGCGCCAGTGGACAATTAGCAGGATTTTTTTCTTCCAATCCAAACCCTACACACCACTTAAATCCATATGCAGAAGTTCTCATCCCTCCTTTGTGCTAGGCGCTATCTGCAATCTTTATATCCTTATCTCGGCAAACCCCACCTTCTTAAGTCTCTGTTGTGGCCGTTGGCTGAAGCACCAACTTCCCTAAACCTGGAGGCTTATTCGCACACAGTGCAGGGCACATGTGCAGAGAGGTAAATTAGCCAGCAATACTGACCTCCTCTTTTTTTTCTTTCTACAAAACATTAGGATAGGGGTTTGGAACTGCATGAGCCAGGACATAATAATCATAATAAAAAAAAGAAAATGTGTTTGTCATTGTCTAGGATCAAAATTGCACAACATATAAGCAAGGTCGTGGATTCATAATGCAAAAATCACCTCTGCAAGTTGCTTCCTCACACCTAACTTCCCTTTTCCATCAACAGTAGCTGATAGCAGAAGTGTGTGTGTGTGTTTGGGATGGTTTATGAGTGCAGCACAGAGGGCAGCTCTCTACCAGATCCAGACTATGTTCAGCGCCTTGTAAAAGTATTCACACCCCTTAGACTTTTGTCCACATTTGGTCACAGTACACCCTCGAGCTTCAGTATATATATTGCGATTTTGCAGATGAACATAAAATATTGCATGGAATTTTTAAGATGATGATAAATGCCCAACTGTTTCAAGTATAAAAAAGAAAGTGTGGCATTTATTACAGACCTCTTTTACATTTACGTCAATAAATGAAAAGTCAGTGCAGGATATTGCATCAGGAAGTCAACAGATGAGTCAAGTCAATAAGTTAAGACAGTCTATCTGTAGACAAAATGTAATGAATACAACAGTTGCTGCAAAATGCTAAAATCATACCCAAGCACTTACATTAGTTCCACTCTTACCACTCTTAAGATTATATTGAAAACAGGATGCAAATTTCTTCAGAAACAATATTTCTGTCCACAAGAAGACTGATTTATTTGACTTTTAATTTGAAACAAGCAGTTCATAAAGTCCACTGATTTAAAAGTGTGAAGCGTTTTTAGAAATGCAGCAACTGTTCAATTTGTTTTTCAATTGTTTCAACTTGTCTGTGGAGAGATGAGAGGAGTGAGTCTAACTTTGAATAAAATGCAAAAAAAGAGGCTTCTTTCAATTTCAGACTGCAGTTTTTTAAAACTAAGAACATCATTTGTGCATCATTTGCCTACGTAGCCCTATAACCTGCTCGAAATTGAAAGTTCTACTTATTTAAATCGAAATTTGTTTGTGCCTAAATTGTGCCTATAAGTGTTTGGAATTTCCATTAAATTAGTTTTGGCTGCTATTCAGACCTGCCAACTTTGTTTTTGATTTAGCTAAATCAAAAATAAACTGTAGATTTTATTCAGTCTTATTATACAATTTGCATACCTTTTATCTTTTTAGACTTTAATCAGAGTAGAAACATTGTAACTTTAATAGCTAATAGACACTTGAACATATTAAAACACAAGCATTATTTAGGTATAGATACTAATTTATTCCCTGTGCTCTTTAGATAAAAGATAAAATATAGAACGTTTATATTGACTTAAATCTCAAAAGCAACTTTCTGTGCATTTTCCATCACAGAAAGTCGTCTTCAAAAAGCTTTAATTATGTGTCAAAGGGGCAATGCCTCTATATTTAGTCTGATGCCCTCTGTGTGATCTTACTGTAAAATTATATGATTTTATGATTATATGGTAATCATCTGACAATAAAAACCAGTTTACCTCCTCAGGATAACTTTAGCCCTGTGAATATTATCTAAATATTTGTACTGCCTTGGATGGTTTCGGATCAATTAGAGTGTGAAAATATATAATCCCTTTTTTCCTGTCAATATTAATATAGCTTATAACTGATATTTTTATTTCAAGTTAATCTGCAATGAAAATTTGCCCATGAAATACGAGAACACGACTTTACAAAGCCAAATTGAACGTACTCGTATTGCATTGGCTGCCCAGCTCGAACGCAGGAACAATATTATTTTCAACGAAACCAAATATATTCTGAACACAATAACTGACAACTCTCACATTAACTCGCACACCTAAAAAAAAAAAAACCTTCATAATAGCAAATCGTTTCTAAGACTTCCATGAACAAAGACCGAGTCTTGGCAGAGTGTCCCAAAGTCGCTCCAGATCTCTGTGTGGTTTAAAAAAAAAAAATGAATGATTTGATATTCAAGTGAACTAACACAAACACACATATGCACACACGCACACACACGCATGCACACACCAGAGGGCTGGAATCCCCCCTCAGACCACCTGCGCTCTACAGTTAACTGAATCCATGTGCTCGGTGCATGAGCTGGTGTGGTGCGGTTTGCTCCCTTTGTGCCATTGGTCCTTTCCTCGTGCCATGACTTTAAAGCTAACCCCAAGGCAGGCCAAGCATGGAGTCTGGGCATGTGTTGCATGTCAGTAATGCTGAAAGTTTAATGTAACTCGAACCCTTTAAATGTGTACGCTGAAAGACGCTTCACCCATAAACATTTGCATCAGAGATAGTAGTGATAACTTAAAGATCAAAGATTTATTAATTCATGAATTCCCCCCAAGCTAAGACCAAATCCACTGTTTGATGACGTAATTGGCATTCACAACTTCATTATCAAACCTCGGTTAACTGTCTTTATAGAGTAATTTTGTATGAACTCTCTGTCCCTGCCTATCTCTCATCCGTTGCCTGAGGTAGTTTTCAGTTCTGTCATCAGGTTGGTCAAAAAAGAATCAGCTCCCTTTGGTCTTTTGGCGCCATCTAAAAAATAGACAACTTTACACAATGCTTAAGTTCCCAATAGCAGCTTGTGATATATAAACAGAGTGAACAACTCAGGCTTTGCTCACTCAACATCCTCTCACGTTCAGTAAACAATTGTCTGGATCTGAGTATATTTGCTTCACAGCCTATGGGAGTATGCATCTCCCTCAGACAGTTTTACATGAAAGACTTTATAAGTTGCACCGCCCCTTGTGCATCATTCAAATACGCTTATGTAGGTTCTTTAAAATCCTGCTTCCAGTCATACCTCCGTCCATCCTTTCCTCTCAGCTGGATGAGCTCCATGATGGGCCTCTTGGCTTCCCAGAAAATGGTGACAGTATAATTATGACAGTATAATTTAGGTTTTCAGGGATTGTCCAGGATGTCTTCATATGGCGGCTTCTGAAGGTAAAAAGTTCAATGTCTTTCTAACAGTTGGTAGAAGCCCTTACAACAATACATCTGTCCTTATGGCCAAAAACTGCACGTGTGTTTTGTTGTCTGTCTTTAAAGAAAATAAATTTTGTTACTATACTTACTTACTCCAACGATTTCTGATTGACTAAATCATAAACAGCTATTTATTTAATTGAAAACCATATGGCGTTTGCTGTGCTGCACCAATAGATCTATTTGGACATTAACAATCTCTATATCATGATTCGTTTTGTGGTGGGTTTATTCCTGCGATGTTTATTCGGCCTATTCTAACGTTTTGTTCTCTTTGTAATTTTGGTAATATTCTTAGACTAATGGTTTTCCCCCTTTGATTTGTGGGTCGTTTTATTCGGTGCAGCTCTCTGTGTTCTTTTTGTTTATTAGTCTCTTTCCTTCACTTAGCCTGTTTAATACTCTTTCTCGGATTTTGGGAATTTTCCTGATTTGACTCACCTGGTTTCCACAGCACGTGAATGTCGAGTTGAACTCAATTCGTAAGTGTTTCTTATCTACTTTGGTTTGCTTTCTTATTTTTAGCCCAAATAAATTATTTATTTTAATTTACTTTTTGTTGTGTTTTTCCTTCCACCTGTAAGTGTTCTTCATTCAACAATGGTTGGAAATATTTTATTTCCAATGTTCTTTATTGTGGCGTTCAAAGTTTTAGTTAACCCTATTTTACACGGCACAATGTTTTGTTTAGTTAATTATTAATAATTTTTCAAGCAATTACATGTTTCCACTGACATTATTTGACTGCTGTTGCATGTCTATGGCTTTTAAAACGTCCTTTTTAATTGTTAGTATGAATATTATTTGGCATTAAAGGTAACGTTGCTGTTAGCCTCGAGCCGTTAGCATTGAGCCATTAGCCTTTGGCTGTTGGCCAGATTGATTTCAGATGTTTCGCATTTTTCAGGTTAAAATAACCTTTTAGACAAAATATATTGATACTGATGTCTAGGTTTATTTATCCACCTCTGTTTATTTTCTTTATTTAAGTGCTGTGAAGCACAGAGGGGAACAGTCTCCATGACGCATCGTCAGCACGGTGGACATGGAAACAGATTCTTCAATATATATGTTGTGTTTGAAATTAGAACGTTATAATAAAATAATTGTGTTGATATATGTGTGTTGTATGTGTGTTTTTATTGACATTACAAACATTTAAGTTGTCTGGGACAAAAATGGCGTTTACATCCATGTTTGACGGGTGACCAGGGGTGCTCAGATTTCTGCAGTCATGAAACGACGCTTCTGCATTTCACATGAAATTGATGGGATCTGTTAGGTAAGTTGTTGGTTTTTGTACTTATTTGTACCATTTTCTGAGCAGGCATGTAGTTAGAGCGTAGAAATCCGTATTTGTTACAGACGCCTTTTGTGTTTGGATTATGCCGAGCTTCATTCTCCATCATACCGACCACATGGTGCCATTATCTAATGTCTTCTCAACTTTGATTATAAGTTTGACGTGGCCAGAAATATTTTTCTGTATGAAATGCCCTGCTCTTTTGTAGTGAACCACAGTGTCAACATAATTGGTAAGCAGGTAATCAAGAGAGTTGGTGTACGGACCACACAGACTGAGGGCGTTTTAAAAACCACCTGCCTTTGCTACAGTATCACAGACTACTTAGAAATGCATGATGGTCAAGTATTAATGGACAAAACTTGCCTTAATTAAATAAATCATGCTGATGTTTGTGCAAGTTTTTCAATTAGATTTTTTTATTGCAGGTGAACTGAGATCTATTCAGATTCTGAGGAAAAGCCACCGATTCAGAGAATCTCTCCCATGACCAGCAGCTCCATGCAGCCACAAGCTCCTCTCCACCTTCACTCCCACATGTTCTCCACCTTCACCCTCTCATCCACTGTGATGATCCACCAGCTGCTCTGTGTTCACCTGTTGCTTTTCCGCCCAGTAACTCCAGTAACCGACTCCCTTCAACTGGAAACCTCTGTTGGGTAAATTTAACCAACATGCTAAGTGACTACACTTTGTGTGCATCATATTTTTAATGTAATTATTTATAGATGTAAGGCATTTTCAGATTTGATTAGTTGATGACATGATGCCATGCATAAAGTTAAATGCAAATAAATGTTTGTCTGGAGGGAGTTTTGTCTGTTTTAGGAGTTTAGGAGTGCGTACAATTCTTTAAAAACTTAATTAGGCTTTCTCTTCACATTATTCTTCCCTCCCATCAGGGGCAGTACTGTTTAAATTCTTTGTTACTTTTTTAGCTTGATCTGTGAGGGACCTGCTGTCTGCAACATTTTATCCAAAATACTCTCAAACCACCAAGCGGAGCAGCAGAGCAAACGGGGTGGAGAGAGAAGAGACGTCTCTGGTCACCAGCACTTAGTGACTGAAATATTTAGCAACTATAAACTCATTTACCAGTCAGTCTAAAATTGTGTGAACTGTTGTACATTCATAGACTTTGTCGTGTGCATTTCTCCTGTAGCCAATGAAACATTTTGTTTCATAAAACCATGAAACATTTCTTTATGATACACGTCTCAGTTTAAAATGTATATTTTGTCTGTTTCTGAGGAACCAATGGTCAGATTTGGATCACCAATACAATTTTGAGAAGGCTCCAGGCTGTCTGGCTTGTTTTTTTTGTTTTTGTTTTAATTAGTTTGTGTATGTGTCAACGCTCATGAAATATCTCTTTTAAAATCATATTTTTAAGCTGTGGTTGGTTATTAAATGCTGACTTTATCTTGATTTATTATTATTGTGAATGTCTTTTCTGAAAAGCCAATGTATTAAAATGTATACTGTGCTCTTGTACTTTGTTCTAAGGAAAGTTTCATTAATATGTTTTTGGTACATATGTATGAATAAATGTGATCCTTTTTTAATCATATTTCATCTTGGGCAGTCTAATGTTCATTCTCTAAAATTAATGAATTCTTTGCTAAGTGTTTTAAGTGGTTGTCATCGATTTTTATAATTAGTTACAACATTGGATTAATATTCCTAGGAAATGGAAGACATGAACACCTTGCATTCCTATGAAATTGCTACTATATTAGCATTTCTACAGACCTAGCAGCACCATATATAGCACTTATTTTTGACCTACTGTGAATGTCGGCCGACAGTTGTCAGCGAACTTCTGGCGGACATTCAACTAAAAGTCCATCGAAAGTCTAAAAGTGTTTAATTTTGAGTCCGGAAAACGTTGGGGGCGGACGTTCAGTGAATGTTCAAGACAACGGTCAGTGAACGTTGTCTGAACATTCAATGCTAACTGGGTAATTGTACCTCCTCAGTGTCTAAGCCTCCTGGTTTTCATTGTTTCTTGTGTTATGATGCTCATTCTGTCATGCCATCAGTTTTGTAAGTTTCTTTGTTCCTTCAATAAATCACTTATGATTTAGTGAAGGATAAATCTATGATTCATCCATAGATTTATGTTGGTTTATGGTCCAACCTACACAGTGGTAGGTTGGACATAAAAACAAAGAAAAGAAAATTGATCACATAATCTTTAATAGAAATCACTCCTTACATTTGTCATTAATTGACTGAGTAAAGCAATGAGATACCTTATATTTCTCAGAATTCAATCACATGAACAGTAAGGTCCATTACCTAATGATTTCATTAAGAAAAAAAAATATATTTTACAATATTTTTCAGCTCCATTTTGGTAACAACTATTTTAGTTAAGTAAAATCTTATTGATAGTGACGTAGAGCAAATATGATCCAAACGTGATCCTTCCTTCAAAAGAGAAGTACAGAGGAGCCTTCAGAAGCAAATCACATGTATTATAATGATTGTCTTGAGATATTTTATCTGTTCATTTTCCCAAATCTGCAATATTAGTTTTCACAGTTTAATATTGTTGCTCAGGAAACTCGTCGGGCAGAAAACTCAAATGATGGGGGTTAAACGAAATGATCGAGCGGTTAAAGTTATTTTAGTAGGATCAAAGATGTTTCTAATGTTTGATCATATTTTTGTTTTAATAAGCATCTATGAAATTTCAAGTTAACTTGCTGTTGTGGCTTTTTATCCATTCTTGTAATTGCTTTGCTCTATGTGGCTGTCCCAGTAATTAGGCTACTTAGATCTGCAGAACCGTCTGGTGACCCTCTGCCACTACATCAGCACACATCATCAGTAGTTCCTCATGTTTCTAAACTTAATAGGATGTGGCTTCACGGCCCTAATAGCAAATGTATACACTGTGATTGTGGGTTTGAGCCCTGATGGGGCCACCCACACTACAAACAAACCCATGCAGTTATGGTTCTCCTCAGTGAGCTGCTGTAGATGAAAGCTTGCCCTTAAGAACGCTGTATTCAGAGTTCGATAGGTTTTGCCGGGAAAACCGCCGCACTCGCCAGACTGTTTGAAGCTTGGGTTTCTATTATGGTGTTTAAAAAACGTTCATCTATTTTTGCCATCCTCTTTTGTGAGCAACATTGCAAGGAAAAGCAGTAACATTAAAAAAAAAGAGCAGTATTTAGTGCTAAAGTATATGCACAGTGCACAAACGGTAATAAATTGGTAAGAAGGAAAGCTCAAAGCAGCTTTCTATTTATATTGTATAAATTAGTATTATATCTCATTTTTTATGATGAATTTTATGTTTAGTGTTTATTTAGATGCTCAGTGCACCGTGAGCACTGAGCATGTTTGAGAGTAATTTCAATCTGATGAATGTATGTTTCACAAATTTTGCAAATAAATTTGACTTTGACATATTTACATACACTGTATAAAAAAGACAAAAAAACCTATCCATTGTCATTTTTGTGATAAAGCATTGGGCACACATTTATTTATCATTTTTATATTTTCATTTGAAATGCATGCATGATCATAAGCTGACCTCTTTGACAACTTTGTGTTTTCCCATTTACTAGTAAATACAGCCGACCCTGATATATTTATGCACACTGTAATAAAATACACATGCATTTTTTTTCCACTTACATTTAGCCTGAATAAACTGTTCTGTTTTCTGGTCAGCTAGGATTACAAAAGTTATCTGTATTTTTGAGCGTCAGAAAGGTATGAGTGAATTTTATTTTAAGATTTTTTCATTGAATTTTACTTGCTGAAAATTCAGCAGTTTACATACTCCATGTCTTTGTGGGGTCTGTTTCTCGGAGATTTTAGGGGGATGGAATGTGTGAATTGACCTGTGCACAAAAAGTCGAGGTGTGTGTGGTTTGCAGCAGAATAAACTTGTGAACCTTACAAAACTTGTGCCGTCACGAAGAAAGAACATTTTGAGAATTATTGAAGCAACACTATAGCAATCAGCTGGCAAATTAAAGCTTTAGCAGAAATTCGTCTTGCAAATTTTGCACCAAATTAGTTTCAGAGCTTCTCAATGACAAACAAAGTCTGTCTTTTGCTCTTGTTTGCAATAGAAAATTTGTGAGCAGAGTTGAAGAAATCTATGTGAGTAAGTCGCCCTGCATATCTCATTTCTTTTCAGGAGGAATGAACCTAAATTACAGCAAAAATAGTTGGGAAATATCAGCAACTATAGACATCTCTCTCATTATTCTGACAGGTGTAAAATAGAAATTTGTCCTATTTTACACCTGGAAAGGTTTTAATCTGATTTAATGTTAGATGGTTGATTTTATTTGTCCTTTTATAGAGTGAAAATACCTGTTTTCAACAAATGCTTGATGAAACTGTTCTGTGTGCTATCTCCCTCACACTTGCCATAAAACATAAAATTCTTCTCATTAATACAAAAAAAAAAAATCTGTGGCCAAATGTGTGATGCAATGGTGAAGTTCCCCTTGAAAATATCTCTCTTTTACCCTGATGACGATCTTGTTTCAAACACATCAACAAATACTAAACTGTGTTTTGTGGTAAATCACAAGTAAAGATTCACACACGCAGGAAACAAATCAGTAGTTTAAAGTTTGGTAAACTGTAGAACAGAATGTTTTGTACTCTGGTGGCAAACAGGGGAAAGCCCAGCAAACCTCTAGCAGCTCCCTTTATGTGCTGCAGCCAGGACAGGAGGCCGCAGAGCTCAAAGACCAACACTAAGGAAGACCGTAATTGTACGTGAAGCTCAACAAAGAGGCAGCAAACACACACACTAGTAGAAAACACATTCCGGAGAGAGCACTCTTGTTTGTTGAACGCGTTTTAAGATGCACGCTTCAAACATGCACACAAACAATACATGCTAAATCTATTGTTAGCTGGCCAAACAGTAAGGATGAACCCTTGCCAAAGGGAAAGTCCGCTGAGCCAATGGCTGAGGCCCTTAGAGAAGGGAGCCTGGTGGGTGACATCTGGTCTGCATGTGGGCTGGGCCTGCTTCATGGCTGCATGACTGACATGCTTCCCAATTAATGTCCTAAACTTGAGGCCTGAGCGAAGCTTTGCGAATCTTGTGCAGGCAGTGAGTGACGTGATTTGATTAATGAAGCAATATCTAAATTGCAGGAGTCATACTGACAGCTTCTCCATGCCAGATAATATTGTTATATCGCCTCAGGAGGCGACGTAGCCTGCAAATACAGGCAGGTTGTTTCCCTCCAGTTGTGACAAGCAGTGAAGTTGCTTCTGAGTTTCTTCTCAGACTTTCAATCAAGCCCATTAAGAGCTTTACCTGGGAGTAGTGATGGACTCGGACTTGAACCTTCAGAGCCACATAAAGACGATTACAAAGTCGGCCTTCTGTCACCTGAAGAACATCTCCAGGATTAGAGGACTAATGTGTCAGCCAGATCTAGAGAAACTCATCCATGCGTTTATCTTTAGTCGCATTGATTATTTTAACTGCGTCTTCACAGGTCTGTCCAACAAATCAATCAAACAGCTGCAGCTGATCCAGAACGCTGCTGCTCGCGTTCTCACTAAAACTAGGAAGATAGAGCACATAACACCAGTTTTAAAGTCCCTCCACTGGCTCCCTGTAGCTCAAAGAATAGACTTTAAAATACTGTTGTTAGTTTACAAATCACTGAATGGTTTAGCTCCACATTACATCAAAGATCTGCTGTTGTTGTATCAACCTTCCAGACCTCTCAGGTCTTCTGGTTCTGGTCTGTTCTGCATCCCCAGAACCAGAACCAAGAGAGGAGAAGCAGCTTTCAGCATCTATGCACCAAAAATTTGGAACAAACTTCCAGAAAACTGTAAAACAGTGGAAACCCTAACTTCCTTCAAATCTCAACTAAAAACAGACCTGTTTAGAATTTGAAATGTAATATGTAACAATGTATCGTTTATTCTATGATGCAAGACTTTGTGTTTTCGTGTTTATGATGTAAAGCACTTTGAAATGCCTTGCTGCTGAAATGTGCTATACAAATAAAATTCGATTGATTGATTGATTGATTGATTTACCTCAGCCACGTTGACCTTCATTTAACCTCATTCTGTGGACGATGTGGTTTAGCACAAATTCATAAGTTATTGAGTGAAAAAATCTGAGAATCTTTTTTTGGCATGGGAGATTTTAACCATGCTGTCGAATTGCTTACTAAACTAAATTTCTTTCTCTTGCAGCTCTTTACGGCTTCTTTCTCGTGGGCCTTTCAGGAGCAACCCGTGCCACCAAAGTACCAGTACAGAGATCCAGTGACATCACAGGTCCATTCTTGTGACCAGTGCCCCCCGGGTACATTTGTCAAACGACACTGCACCGCTGACATGCCAACCGAATGCCAGCCCTGTCCTGAGAGGCATTTTGCTGAGAACTGGCACTGGGGGGATACATGCCAGTACTGTACCTCAGTACGTACAACACAAACTGATCTACAGACAGACAGGATTTTATTTATTTATTTATTAGAATATATTTACAGACAAAGAAATCTTTATTGCAAATATATATATATATATATATATATATATATATATATATATATATATATATATATATATATATATATATATATATGGCTGTTCTCTCTGCATACTCTCCTAAAGCACATTTAGTGATTACTTGATTATGAAATTAGTTGAAGATTATTTCAGTAATCGATTCACCAAGATAAGTCTGATTAATTATTTTAGCCTAAAGTAAATTAATCCTTAACTATGAATTGGAAGTGTTTGTAACTCTTATTAAAACATATTTCCCATGTATGTATCTATGAATAAGTTCTGGATTTTTTCTTTTCTCATCCATTGTTGGAATATTTGTAACCAGTGTGTGTTGTGTTTAGGTGTGTAAGGAGAGGCAGCTGGTGAAGCAGCAGTGCAACAGGACGCACGACCAGCTCTGTGAATGTGTACCTGGATACCATCTAGTGGTGGAATTCTGCATTGCACACAGTACCTGTCAGCCTGGATACGGAGTCACAGTGTTGGGTAGGTCCTCTCTTCTTTGAAACGAAGTTTAAAACAATCAAGTTTTATTCAACTTGAAGAAATATGGTGTAATACTTTGCATATAAAACCTTTCCAGATTTTGCCAAATTCCATCCACAAACATGAGCGTGTTTCATTAGGATTTTATGTGATGGGCAGTATTTTGAGCTTTATCATGTCATAATGTTATTCCATTATCAAAAACGTATCTGGAGTTTCGCTTTGATTCCTTCTTCCAAGTTTGAGAAATCCTTTCTCTCGTGACAATCTCACCTGGTTGGATCTAGCGCCGCCTTTGGATGCAGTTCCTCTTTGAAGGGGCAGTTTCTAAGTTTCTGCCTCACAGAGTAGCCCTTCCTAGTGACTGCCTCAACTCAGCTCCTCCAAACTAGCTGGCAGAGATTAGCAAACCCAATGGAACTGCGCATCTGCTGAGCTCATTATATGAGCTATTTCTTATAATGGTTATTAAACCGTTATCAAAGGGTTATGTATGTATGCATGTATAAGTGCGTACATATGTGTGCCTATGTGTGCATGCGTGTAGGTCTGCGTATATGCGTGTGTGTGTGGATGTGCATTGAAGCTTTTAGCCATTAGTGTTTTCAATAGAGGAAACTGTATTTTTCTCAGTTTTTGTTAATTTACTGATATGGCAGAAGCTCTTGAAAGGATTCGCATGCAGCATTTTTTATCTCAGTACTCTTATATAAGATGAACAAAAGCCAAAAGCATGTCTACCTCTTTTTCTTTTCCTCTCTCTCACCGTGTCAAATCTTTATCAGATGTGTGCATCTCTTTTAAAAAACCCAGAAATACCGACTCAAAGACTGATTCTTTCTGAGAAATGCTGTCTGTGTTGTCCTACTTGCTCAATCTCATAAATTTTTTATGGTCTATGCGATCTCCTTTGGACTTTTTTTTTTGTATCTCTTTATCACTGTACTTTTTAATGACAGAAATAATATATTAACAAATAAGATCTTGAAAAAGCATGTTTTTTATATATTTTTGCAGGTGTTTTATGGAATGTGGCATCTTTAGCTGCTTTATGTTTGGTTCAACTTCTCTCCACATATCCTCCTCATTCATGTAATGTATGTTGTATTCATCATACTAAAAAATAAATGTTCCTAGAATCAAGTCAGATCACATTAGGACAAATACCTTAATGTATAATAAACTGTTTCAGGTAGTGCTAATGCAAATGTTGTATATCAATGCTTACAAATAGTGCACAATATGCTTAAATATCAGATAAATGGTAGGAAGACAGGGTTATTATTCTCCACAGTCAAAGATTGGATTCTATGCCAGTTTTTGTTTAATCTAAAAGTCACTTATGTTAATGCTAACAGGGCTTAAAGAATCAAAGAGTGCAGTCTTCTACTCTGCAAAAACTGTCACATTAGCAGGTACCAATAAATTTGTGATGTGTTTAATTTGCTTTAATGTTTGTTGGTTAAATGAAGTTTGATTCAGCTTTACATCTAAAGCTGAATCTTTCTCTGTATTTCTGAAATTATCTTACAAAGACCAAATTTCCATTTGTGAATAACTCAGATGATTTGGCGTCTTCGTGAAATCGGAATGAGCCATTGGCTGACGAAAAAATTACTCATTGTGTCTGCGTTGCAAGGATCATATTTAAAGAACATGAAGACGTGCATTAATTTGATAAAGAAAAGTAAAAGGGATAGCTTTTGGGCTATTAAGAGGTTATTTTGTAAACATTTTTAAAATTATTTTAAAAATCTAATGCTTAAAGTCTAACTACTACATTAATTTGTGGTTAAACATTAAAATGATACATTAAGCCATACATTGAGCAGGCTGAATTCCTTCTAATATTTATTTCTCATGGTTCAAATCAGCTTAAAATCAAAAATAATTTTGAGAGTCTTTGCTGAAATAGTACAGGAAAAAGTTCAGTTTTATTTAATTACAGAAAATGAGGAAATGTTCTTTCTTTTCACAAACGTATCTTAATATCAGGTTCAAACTGAATATACACAATGTAACATACTGTAGGTCTCTCCCAGTGGACCAATGAATGTGCTATCCAACAGTACAATTGCTAGAATAAAAGTTGGATCAACTATTTATTTATTTTCTTTTGCACTCAGTTACAATCTTTACTCAAAACATTGAGCTCTCATATAGCTTTTTGGGTCAAAGCATCTTTCAGTGTTATTTGACGTGCCAGACAGCACGGGGGCGTAACACTGTCATCCACAGTGACAGATATATTACAGCTGACTTTAAGCGGAAACTGGAGGCCATCTGCTTAGCTTCAGTACAGTGACACAGTTTCCACTGAACGTCTGAGACTTTCCTTCCTTTTTTTATTTCATAGAAATTAGTTTGATGGTAGTTAACATATAATCTGTCCTGACATTTTATTTATTCAGAAGCTGAGAACTGAATCATTTAGAGTTTGTCCATTTGAACAATAAAGAAGGAAAAAATCACTATGTGACTAGAAATAAACTGTTTGGAAATTAAACCCATTGCCCTCCATAGGTTATTTGTTTATTGATAAAAGATAGAATGCTTGATGTATGCTAAACTTGGGATTTTAAAGTTAGGCTGTACTTTATATTTCACAATAAATTGCAAGAAAGCACATAGTCTAAAACGTTGTAGCTTAAGCTACTGTTTAGCCCAGATTTTTTTTATTTATTTTTTATTACCAGAGCCAATACACAAAACTGGTACAACACGTTTTCCAGTTCCCAAAATTCATAAAATTCATAAGATGATCCAACATCTTATGATGTTGGATCGTAGATCGAGTGCTATATTGCTCAGATGTGAGACAATGTTTCCCAGTAAATCCACAACTAACTTTTGAGTTGGTCCAAGTTTAACAGACAAGTGACACTTTGAAGGATTCAAAGGATTATCGCACAATGCTTCTAGTTACAGTTCAGACTTTTAAACCACAAGTTTCTGTTTCAGTCCCAATAAATTACGTTCTGTTTATGACTATGTTGTTTTGCCATTGGTCTCTCTCCTTTTGGCTTTGATTTTTACCACAAAGTGAAATTAAGACATTCAAGCTGATTTTCATTGTCGTAGCTGGTGTAACAGATGGCATTAAGCAATAAAGCAATACGCTATTCAACCAATGCAAAAGGTTTTTGACTTCTATCAATTCACTGTTTGATTAGTTGTCAAAAAACACGGATCACTTTTTTTTTTTTTCAAATAATCTTCACAAAATTATCAAAAGTAATTTCATTAAAGATAGAACCATTTCAATGTAGCAGCTACAAAAATATCAACACCCCCTGGCTTCTAGGTCTTGTTTCTACAACATGGCGCACAGGTTTTGGGTTATTTTTTCCTCCCCATTCGTCTTTACAGATTTCTTCAAGCTTAGTCATGTTGGAAAGGCAGCATCAGCAGACTGTTATTTTTAAGTTTTTGTAGAAACGTGAAATTAGATTAAAGTCCACGTTGACTACCAAAGGACATGCACAAACTGTTCCTGAACCCGCTCTTTTGTTATGTTGGCTTTGTTAATTAGCTTATTGTCATGCTGGAAGACAGTTTATAACTGTACTCTGACATACATGAGATGTGAGTAGGCTTAATCAGATGAAATATGGAACAGCTGTGGCAAGAGATGAGACTGCTTAACCTAGGAGCTGAACCGAAACTACGAACAACTGGAACCAAAAGAAGAAACAGGACTGAAAATTGTCTAAAATACAAGTATCCAAGAAACACAACTCAACATGAGGGAAAAAAATTAATGTTTTCTGACAATAGCCTGGCTATTACCTTCCTGTGCAATTCTGCTTTCAGCACAGTCTGAGCTTTCTCCTTTTTACAAAATATATCTGGAAAATATCATTTTACTGGGTCATTAGTTCCTATTTTATGCAGATTCTTTTCTAAAAAATTTGTTAAGATGGTCTTAATATATACAAATAAAAGGGTTTTCAATGCATTTTTGGTGTTTATTCTAAAATACATCTATGAAGCATTTTGATCAATTAAAAATTTGACAAGAAGTAAATTTTTAGGAAAAACATTAATGTCAGCATATAAATTGCCTGTGTCATTCACAAGTCTGTACTGTACGTGCTTTGTCATCAGTGCAGGAAATATTTTCCATACACATATCTGCAGGTGGTTTCTTGATTTTGCGTAATAGTAAAAGCCAGCGCACGCATGTCTTGTGAGCGGGAAACGGATAAAGATGCTACATCTGATAAGAGTACGGTGCCTTCCCACACACTTTCAACTCTTTGGTTGAAGTTTTAAAATAAAAAGAGGAAGTCACTAAACCACTATTTCTGTTTTGTCAGGTCGTCATGTGATCTGCAGGGGAAAGTACTAGAATCTAAGACCATTTATTGTAATATTACCAACCAGGAACCCCTCATTGCCACCTCTAATTGGAGTTTCAACAAAATAGATTTTTATTTTGCAAGATAGGAAAACGCCATTAGGTCTGCATTGCATGAAATGTGGACAAAAAAATAAAAAAGATTTTCATATTCACATATTTTTTTATGTGAAACCATGATGACCACATGTCATGTTCTCAACGTCGTATCAGTACAGAAACTGGTACTACGGATACATTACAAGTTATAGAAACTCCGTGGGTGTGATGAGGAAGACATGCCTGAGTCATTGTCATACAGTTCTCTGCGGCTTTGATTGATGATCATACGTTTGCGGTCTTGGTTCCTAGAACTACGTCAGATTAATTGCTGATGTTCACGAGGGAGGAGATTTTCACACTCTGAAAGCAGCGGCGACAGATGAAACAAAGGTTACCAGTAAGCTACTGAAACTGATACAGCATCTTTTCAACTTCCTCTGGTTCAGCTAAGTGCACTACAGGGTATTTTGTGTGAAGCACCTGCAGTGGTGTGTTGCTCGTTATTTCGACTTAGGTAAGCACAAAAAGCAACCTTTTAGAAAAGAAAAGACAAAAAATAACTTTCTTGTGATTTGTTTTAATCTGGTCAATAATGCAGGATTTTAATGATACGAACAAAGTGGACATCTTTTATCGAAAAAAAATCAGTAATTCACTGTTGGTGCAAAATAGTAAAATCCCGATTAACTCATAACAAGTCGAGTACAAGATGGGCAAATAATTAAAATTTTTAGGACATGGATCACTTTGGTTTTTTGGACAAGAAATCTTTTTTTTCTTGGCTTTTTTTAACAAGAAAACGAGATGAGTCAGTAGTTTCTGTATTTGGCCAAGTGTAATTATTTGGGAACCGGGGATGCTTGGGTTCTTTTTGTTACAACCCCCCCCCAAGCATAACATAGTTATTAAAAGAGAAATACACCGTATGGAGCTTTCAGATTCTGTCGCAGTCTCTAGCAGATTTTCTTCTGGGTTTGAATTGCTTTGACCCACTTTGACCAGTTTCAACATTCTTTCTGAGAAAATATTGCCCACAGGATGCTTCGTGATGCTAACAGCACGAAGTTGAATGGGGGGATGGAGTGTTCAGATTGATGTACAGCGTTGGTTTTCTGCTACACTTAAGCTCAGTTTTGGTCTGATGAAGTGTCATGTACCGATTGGAAGGAAACTTGGTCTGACTGACACATAGTGGTGGAGAAAGCTTTTAATTTCCCTTAGATTTTAGGGATGTCAGTATAAAACTGCAGGGCCACCTTATTACAATGTTTTTGCATCTGAAAAAGACTGTAAATTTAATAGATTGCAATACTTTATTGTCATTGTATCCCCAAGCCAATACAATGAAATTTGGTTGGCAACGGTATGTCAGTGCAAAATTGCTGGTCATAGTTTGCCTGTTTTCTCTATGTGACAGAGCAGTGCCAAGCTGCTGTGAGTTCACACTCCGCTCCGTATTTTTCTTCCACTGCACAATTGAAAGCTTCATGATGACTGCACACATAAAATCTCATTAAAAGATCACAAGAATTGAGGTTGGAATATAAAAGAGCATAAAAAGGTCAAAGGGGTGGCTTTGAGGTTGCTCCTTTTTTAGGGAGATAATCCATTCAGTCAGTTTGAAATCAAAATAATTATTTGTGGATGTCTTGCAGGCACACCTGAAAGTGACACTGTGTGTGAACACTGTCCAGATGGTTATTTCTCTGTTGGCGGCTCCTCCACGTGTCAGCCGCACAGACTCTGTGCTGATTTTGGCATGAAGACTCTGCGATGGGGAACATCCACTTCAGACAGCCTGTGTGGCTCTCCTGACATCAAGGACTGCTCCCAGCATCACACTCTGTGCCATAATGGTGAGAACACAGAGGCCACAACGGATGTGAGAAGCTTCAGAACTATTCCAGCAAGGAGTTAGTTTATATCCAGCATGTCCCTCCTTTACACATGCATATGTAGGAGCGCTTAGAGTAAACCTCAATTGTCAACAACCTAAAATCATTCCGAGCTGAGCTATTTCAGACTTGTGGTCAATTTCATTCCCCAAGGCAGGGGATTTCCTCAGTCCGGTTTCTCTTCCAGATTCCAGGCTTTTTTACTAATTCTTGCATGTCTGAAAACCAGCTCTAGAGAGACCCACCAAGGGTTGCAATGAATGTTTATGGCGCTCAATTCAGAATAACCCCATGATGGATCAATTACCCATTTAACTGTCACATCCTCAAACACAATAACAAAGGAAACTGAGTCAAAATGAGACACAAAATGAGCTTTTGGGGCTTTGTTACTCAGACTACAGCTATGGTGGATGCTTAAATATGTCTGAAAAGGCAAAGCCTCAAATATGATACTGAATTCCTCCCGCTTTAGAAATCACTCACAAGTCCAGACCCCAGCACACTCCTGCACAGTATGTAGAATATTTTGAAGATCATTCACAAAACTCTCAGTCCTCAACAAGAATGATGCTTCCCTCAAACATTCATTCACCAGCTGTCTTCCTTTGAAGCACATAGCCACAAACTGTCTGCAGCTAAACCTGCGTCGGTTGGGCAGTTTGAAGAAAAATGTGAAACTGAGATCAGTGGGGTTCCCAAAGTTGTTAAGTTTTGAGGGATTTCAGGATGCCATGACTGAAAACCACACTTACATAATCAGGGGAGGAGAGAAACAAGCCAAATGCCTTCTTCATATTACTGTAAAGTCAACCTCTAGGTTTGCAAAAGAACATTTTCTGCTCACTCTGGAAACTTAATATGTGCAAATTGATCAGAAACCCACACATATGCACAGAAGCACTTCATGACTTGCTCAAATTTATGAATCTAAGCACCAAAAAGTTTCCGATTACCTTCACCTCTGAATGTCATATGCAAATTGGGACTGTCCTCAGTGACAAGAACAGCTGCATTTTTATAATAGTCAATTTTAGTTGAACAAATCCTGCTCTTTGCGAGTTTTAGTTTGCCTTTTAAGGTATTCTTTGTCGCCTCACACTTGCAGTTTTGTGCTGCTGAAACATTTTAGTTTCCCTCATTAGGCAAAAAACTGAGTTGTTTTTCCAAATGGTATGAAGTGTTAAAAAAACAAGTAAAGTGAAAAAATACCAACAAAATCTATTATGTTCAGAGTCAGAATAATTATTCACATTTTTGGTTTAAAGTAACATATTTCTTTAGCATGTTTACTCTAACTGGAGGTAATATTTTAGAGCTATAAACTGGGGTGATGGCAAGCAGGCCTTCCATAGTTACAGACTTGAAGCTATTAGTATGAATCCTTTTTTTTTACTGTCAAAATCGGGAATTCCATTAAGCTCTGCTTAATGGATTTGCTAAATGTATGGGATTTACCATGGATTTGGCACATTTTTGAAGAATTACAAATATAAGTAAGAGGAAGAGCACCTCCAAATATTTAGGAGGGAAGCATCCAGTAGCTATATGTTGTATATTTTTGTAATCCACAAATATTTTCTCCTTTATAATTCCTCCTAGATGTGACTCTGTGTGAAGAAGCAGTCTTCCAGTCTCTGGCGTCACTGCGACTGTCCTCGGTGCCTCTGGAGCGAATCCTGGAGAATCTCCCTGGACAGAAGGTTGATCTCAAGAGCCTGGAGAGGCTGAAGAAGGCATGCTCTCCTCAGCAGCAGGTCCTGCACTTGCTGAGGCTATGGAGAGAGCAGAACAAGGACAAGTTGTACGGGATCATACAAGGTATGGATTCGAAGCCTTGAAATATGTCTAATATAATAACAAGGAGCACTTTTGTTGCAGCCACTGCTTCAGTTCTGAAGATAATCATACATTTGCCTTTTTTGAAGAAAATATTCTCTTGTTTTTCCTGTTGTTACTGAGTGGCTAGGAGAAATGTGTTTCATGCGACAGAGAAACAGGAAGTTGTGGTTTAGAAATAAAAAAAAATCATTGGCTTGCCTTGATCAACTTAAAAATTAAACAAAGTATAAATCTAAAAATCTTTTTTCTATAGAATTTTTAGAGGTGGACTTTGATTTTGTTTGAGACAATTTTTGTAGCTAAATTAAAAATGCAAAGCAGGAAAGCCGACAAAATAGGGAAGAAGCTTTTTTTGTGACTGTCACTTATACATAATAATATTGTCCCTGCATTTCCTCAGGTGTGAACCACTGTGAGCGAAAAGTCTCCCGCTGCAACTCTCTAAAGAACCTGACCATAGACGACCTCATGAAAGTGACCAACAGCTTGCCGGGAGTAAAAGTCCTGGAGCAGGATGTGAAGGCCGTGGTTTCCACCTGCCTGCCCCGGCAGTACCTCCTGCAGATCCTCCACCTGTGGAAATCTGCAAACTACAACCTGGATCTAGCCAAAGGTCTGACTCGTAGTCTGAGGGTGCTGCGCAGCCAGGAAGCGCCGCGGTATCTCGTGAAAAGCCTCAAGAAAATCAACCGCATCATAGGAACCACGTCAGCGCACAAGAAGTACGAGAAGATGTTCATGAGCATGTTTCAAGATGAGTCGTGCTTTAAAGCTCATAAGCAGCTAAACGAATGAGGTCGTGAGATGCGCAAAACATGAAACTATGCAGCCGACAGCATTTCAAAAACACAAATGCATTATCCGACACGTGAAAAGAATACATAAGAAGCAAAAGGACACAGCAGCCATTGGACAGAGAAAAAGTCATTTGTGAGAGAACGGTGTGGATGAGGAAATACCAAGCAAAGCACATTGAGTACAGAGGAATAAGGAAAGCTTACAAAACGTAAATTTTTTGTTGATCTACAAATAACCTGCAAAATATTGTCATCCAGGATCTAAAGTCTCAATGTGTAGGGATGAATCTAATTAGCCTGAAACAGGAAGAAAAGAACTCCCATAACTAATGTGTTCTCACATCTGTTTTCTAGAAATATTTTTTATTTTACAAGTCTGTTAAAAATTAAGATCTACTTAAGATGTAAACAAGAGGCTGCTTCACACACAAAAAAGGCTGGAGATTCTGATTTGTACTATTAGAGCTTTCTCGCTGTTTGAGAGCAAGAATTTGATTTCATAATGAAATACATTTATTTTCCTCAGCTGTCCATTTTTATTTGTTCTGGACTGCTACTAAGTAAAGCTGGTTTGTTTTACATTTCTTTTTTCTTTTTTTTTTTGGTCAGTTATATGAATGTATAAAGGAGTGCAATTGAGTGTTTTCTTTATTTAAAGTGTAATTTTACTTTCTTAAAGTGTAAAAGCTTGTTTTTATTATTTTTATCATAAATACTGGATTTCTGAAATGCTGCAAGTCCCTGAAGTGATATTTTTTTATATTTTGTTTTGTCACTTTTATATTGGAAGTTGATGGTCTGTGTTGTATATATATGTATATGCCTCCCTGTTTCTCTTTAAGCTTGTGTAACTAAGTTGTGAAGATTTTATAAAACTCTGACGACAATCAGTTTGTAAAAAAAAAGTCTTGTTTTATTATAAAAAAAAGCATTGAACAGAAAACAAATTACCTGTCTTTGCTTTTCTGTTATCAACTAAAAGCCTGACGTTTTATCTATTTCTTTGATCTATTTCTTTACTTTCAGCTTCTGTGTTTCTCTTCTGATTTCACATTAGTAAAAAGACCAAAACCTGTTAGACTGTCACATGCTTCAATTGCTCTGTGGCCTGGATTTACAACAAACAAACCTACCTTGGTTACAAGCGAGAGAAGTGAAAGAACACTTTAAAGTGAACCCAGAAGAACCTACCAGGAACAGAAGAGGTGGTTGAAGGTTTTGTCTTCCTAACATCTACAGCAACATTACAGTAATTAAATCCACCACCCCACTCAGTTCTACAGAAACTCACACCCAGACACATGCAACCAAAACCGCGCGCAAGCTGATATTATTGGAGATTTGTTAAGGTCATCAATGTCATCAACACTAACAGAGAGTTGAATAGAGCCTCCATTGTGTGTCAGCTCAGGAACCCCAAACTGATGGAGAGCGAAGCCCCAACAACACTGCTCAGAGAAATAGAAGGAAAAACTCCACGTCAATCACACTGCTATGGGGTTCCTGTCAGGACCTTGTGTTGTTTTGGGATTTGTTCATTATTCTGTTTTTTTTAGCTTCTTATTTTGATTAGATAAACCTTGTTTCTGTTTCATTTTAGTTCAGTCTTGAGTTAGTAATTCCAGTTCATTATTTGTTTTGTCCTTGTGTCTAGTTATTCTTAGTTCCCGTTGTGTCTCCCTCGCCCCCTGTGCCTTGTTATCGTTCTCTCCTTGTCTTCATTTCCTTGCCTTCCTGGCTCCTGCTCTTTGTCTTTTTCTCTGGCTGATTGAATGTTTTGTTTCTTCATAATTTTTTTTTGTTATACCTTCTCTGCATCTCTGCATATGAGTCCACTTAAAACATGACACTTCCATGTTGTGTGGAAGTGTCAATGTAAAAGATGTGATTAGACCACATCTTCCAGCATTATTTGTTTTGCAAAAATCACTCTCTCTCTCTTTCTCTCTCTCTGTGTCTCTCTTCCTCCCAATACATCAGAACTTATCAGATAAGAACTGAATCCTTTATAAATGGACCTGGGAAGAAAAAAAAAGCCTTTTCTTTTAGACTCAACTTCCAACAAAGACAGTTCCGGCCCTCTTTTGTTGTTTGAAAGAAGGACCGTCAAAACCTTCGAAAAGTACCCTGGAGAAGTTTTAAAGAAACCCCTACGTGTGTCCAGCTTTTTAAAGTTCTTGCATCATCCAGAGCTGAGATCCAGGAGATTTGCACCGTGTCCAGCACACTGCAGAAGCCCCTGGAAAAGGAGCCTAAGTGCACAGAGCCAGTCAGCAATTCTTCCAGCTATTGATCCTTCTCTTGGACTGGTCCCTGGATATTATCTCTGAATCTGAGTGAGCCTGATCAACTCTCAAAAATAAGGTCAGAGCTTAAGTGATTTGCATTTTGTGCAGAGTTGAAAGAATCCTTCATTCTTGTGAAGCTCCTCTTTCTCTTTCCTCTTGCCATCATCAATTTTCATTTTATTTTACGGAGACCAAAGTCAAGATCCTTGGTATAATTTAAGATTATGCCTGAGTTTATGAGTTTATGGTCAAGTTTTATGACTCTTTGTTGCAAAGTCTCAGACTTGCCCACCAAGTCTCAGACTTGGTATCTCTCTTGTGTTACTGTCTTTAGTAGCATCGTAGCTCTGATTAATTTTGTTTAATTAATCAATTTCTTTTGAAATTATTATTCAGTGTTCCACTTAATTTTGCCATGGTTTGTTCGTTGATCTGATTTGATCCCTATTTGGTCATTTGGTATATACACGCATTCCTATATTCTTTTCCCGTCAGAAAAGTTTGGATGTTGACAGTTACTGAAAGAAGCTTGTTAATAAATCAATAAGTGTGTCAGTGATCGTTTCTTGTCTGAAGCTTTTCTTCTGTCTGGTGGTCTGAATTCATTCCTTCACGAGAGACTGAAATGCTTGACTTGTGATTCCACAGGTTCTAGATGGTGCCCCAATTCAAATGAACAAACTTGAACATCCAAGATGATACATGAATGTGAGCTGTGGCAAGACGGCCTGCCGTCTGTCTGTCTGTCTGTCTGTTTGTTTGTTTATTTGTTTAGATCTCCATTAGCTACTCTTCCTGAGGTCCACATCATAAAAACATTTATTGCAAACAACCAGGTAGACACATTAATCCATAAATCCATAATTAATTAAGTTATGATTGAAACATAACATATTTTATGATTATAACACTATATGGCAAAAATAATTAAGCAGGGCTCTTTTAAAAGCGCTAGCATTTGTTAGATTCACAACAGATGAAGGGAGTGCGCTCCATGTTTTCATTTCTCTAAAAATAACACTCTTTCGTACAGCACTCCTGTTACATAGTGGAATAGTTAAACTTTTAAAGCATGTCTTGTATTAAAATTGTCTGAAGTTTGGCTAATTAAACACTGATTATTTAAAACAATTGGTATCTCAGATACTGCAATATTACTAAAAAAGCCTAAGAGGGTAATTTCCCCATGCTCTGTCAGGATGGAGGAGAAACCAGGAGAGGTGGAGGCGGATGTAGGATCAGCAGCAGGACAGTCACTTCCTCCTTCATGCAAAGAAGAGCAAGAAGAGGAGGAACAGTCCTGCACAATGACCTCTAACAGGACACTAATGTGCATGTTTCTGCTCAAAACGTATCTAAAAAGGGGAACATGTTTGTGATGGCCAAATCCATGGCCACACCCTGATGTCAACAAGAAGTGCTAATTGGATTACACCAATAGTTCCTGCAGGCAGGGGGATATAGTAGTTTGTTTGGATAAGTTTTGTATTAAGAAAATATTAGTATTTGAAGTTTGTTTTTGATTTTCATTTTTGGATCTTTAGTTTAGCCAAACTTAGCTGTATTAGTCGTTTTGTGTTATTTGTATTGTTTAGTTACCCCTATTGTGTCATGGTCTGATCAGCCAGTATATAAACCCCTGTGTCATTCTTTGTTAGGTCAGTTATGTTTGTTGTGCAGTTAGTTTGGTTACACTTTTGCCTGAGTTCAGTTTTGTTCCTTTGACCTCTTTTATGAGCTCAGTTTATTTTTTGTCATTTATGATTTTTGGGTTAAAATAAAAACCCTATTTTTCTAAATATATCCTTTGACTCCTCCTGTTTTAACTCGGTCCATCACAATGTTCAACCTCTGTCTGCCAACTGCTTTGAATGTGTCTGGTGACAAATTTATAAAACGTCATGCGAATCACATGCATATATTGGGGATAGACGTTACCATCCTGTAACAGACCTGTTGAGTTTTGGTGCTATATACATAAACCCAATTTCAATCTGAGTTTAAATTTTATGGTTTAACCAGCTAGCTTCTTTGTGGTCAGAGTATAGATGATATGGTTGCTTCATTAATAAAAAGGAAAGCACTGATTCATTTCCTCTTCCAGTTTGTGTCCGCAGGCTGTTCTTTTTATTCTTTTTATTGCTTCAAAGAAGGATATGATCACTTACTGACCCCAGGGGAATCTCCTGCATGCTTCGTTGCTTCCGGTGAAAATGAAATAGACACTGACAGACCATGGTCAATGGGAGATTTTCATTGAAGAAAATGATTCACTGACTTCTTGGAATGTAGAAGGTATTCACATCTTTGTGGGAAATTCGGAACAGCCCAGAAGAGGAACAAAGCTATTCTCTTTATCTTCCACAATCTTCGTTAAGACACAAAGATAATGCACAGCTGTCATTTAATGATATCTATTTTGCATCAATGATACATCATCTAATTAGGTTCTGCTAACATTCAAATGGATTTCTATGTATATCAGTAATTTCTTGTGAAAATGTTAATTAGTCAAGAACAAAGTAGGCAAAAAAATTTATAATTTGGCAAGATGAGTTTACATATGACTCTTCTAAGTGCTATTAGACATACATTTCTAACATTTTTTCAGCTGGATTTACAAACAGGTAAGGAAGATTCTGCTATTACAGAAGGTGGATTTAAGATTGTTTAGTAAAGAGATGGGTAGATTTGATTACATTATTCATATTCCCTATTCTGATCGTAAATATAAAAATACAATTTTGTGAATTAATAATGAATTATTTTTATAATCATAACATTTTGAAAAAAATTCAGCTTGATCTTCAAGCATAGAATATCACAAAATGTCAAGCAAAGCATAAAATTAGTCGATTCAGCCATTCAGTAGCATAGTGCTTGAAAACAGGAACAGATGACACGTGTATCCGTCTGAGTCACAAAGCACTCGCATACTCACAAACCGACTTTTCAAATTCAGCAAATTATTTTACTATTCACACCTCTGAGTCACTGATGTGTTCTTCAAAGTACAGCGGAAATTAACCTCGTTTTCACCAGTGCGCAGATAATTATTATTCAGGTTTTTCAAATGTTACAAAGTGGAGTAAAATTACACGTTGTCATGCAGATGTCAGAGAAGAGACATTTCCTGAAAGCTGGGGAAACAGGAGTTTTTCAAGTTGTGCAAAAAAGTATATTTTCTTTAAACCTTTTGCTACATCTTTAAACAACTTCAGCAACTTACAAACCATCTAGCCATGTGTTAAAAGAAAGTCATAGCCATTGAATTTAAAGAGTGGGGTTCATTTTTACTTCATGTAATTAAAATGTCAATACGAAGTGTACTGACAATGGAAATGCCAGTTCATATCATGCAATGAGATACTTTCACCTTTAGTTTTAAGGAAGTTGACTTGCAGTGAGGCTGGAAAGAGCATGCTGAGGAGAGATGAGGCCGCTGTCTGTGTGTTATCTATTGCATTATTTAAAAGCTCTGTAAACGTCAATTAATCAGATCAAAAAATAATTTCTGCCTTGCTTTATTTGGAAGGTAATGCATTCAGCATGCATCAGTTTGTAGCCAAGTTAATTTAACTTAAGTCTGAGTCTTTAAAACCACCACATTGATTGTCATTATATTTTATTTACTTTCCTCGTTTTTATCAAAATGGGAGAAACATGTTTTATACTAGAACTATAACATGATTCAATGCTACATGTCATCATTTGGTGCCCATTGAAATGAAAGTAAATCAACTTTTTAAAATGATTTTCTGCTACTTAATCAAACGCAGCAGTTGTTGTTGATAAGTGTGTGCGTTCCATCACATGGAACCAGACTGACCTTTCAGCATAAGCTGATCAAAAGATTACAACATAAAAAAAACACCTACGCAATCAGTTCCCTATAAAAGTCACTGAATCTGCTACTGATGTCAAATCCACTTTGAAGAAGTGAAGACATCATGAGCGTGGTGAGTGACTGAATGATAGCTTTAATAATGAATGAAACTTAAATATTTTACTAGAACTGATGCCATATTATTTTATTTTATTTTTTTCGTAACCTGAACAAACATGACAGAGAATTTTAAATGAAAAAGGGCTGGTTAATCATGTGTTTATTTAACTGATTGAGAGATACATCATGTGCTTTTCAAAAAACCCTCAAAATGACATTTTAGAGAATGGCTGTGAGACCTGCAGTACGCCAAGTTTAGAAGAAAATTTAAAATGGCATTGTCAGGGACCAAAATGAACAGGATTAGAAATGAGTGTCATTTCTCATCCTTTAATAATTCTCTCCTCAGCTCTCCCAGTTAGTCATGCTCCTGCTCCCTGGCATTATCTTCTGCACCGAACAGGATCCCACCTACGAACACCGAGACCGTGTAACAGGTGAAATTCTCCTGTGCAATAAATGCGAACCGGGAACTTACCGCACCGCTCACTGCACTGCCACCAGGCAAACACAGTGCAGACAGTGTCAGAGTGACCACTTCACGGAGCTGCCGAACTACCTTAGCAGGTGTCTGTACTGCAACAACTTCTGCTCACAGAACCAGGAGGTGGAGATTGAGTGCTCTCCAGTCAGCAACAGAGTCTGTCGTTGCAAAGCAGGATTTTACATGATGGAGGACTTCTGCATCAGACACACAGAATGCGGCAGTGGATATGGAGTTCAGGCGATAGGTAACACAAGCTTTATTACACATAGTCAGGAGTTAATATGTGAAATGTATCTCTGCAATACACAGAAACCTTTAAGATATTTTATTTCACAATTGCTCCAAATTCAATGCAATGATAAATGTATTTTTGTTTTTGTCGTAGGTACTCCAACAAAGGACACTGTGTGTGAAAAATGTCCCAAAGGGTTTTTTTCCAGCTCATCTTCTGCCTTGGATCAGTGTGTAAAACATAAGGACTGCTTAGGAGAACAAGTCATGATCCTGCAAGGCTCAGCGTTCCACGACACAGTTTGTGGCACCTGTCAAAGTCTTGCAAATGGAGGTACGGAACTTGAGTCTGGAATTTCATATGACTCAAAAATCGAATGAAATTCACAAAGTAGGTTAGTAAGTTTTGGCAAGGTGAGATTTTAATTGAAACATCTCCTCTACAGGTGAGGACCTCAGAGCAGTCCTGTCTGCATCATTTACTGGGAGCAGGATACCAAGAAGAGACTTAAAAAGACTGATTCACAAGTGAGATCACACTTAAACTTTTCTGCAATAACATTTTTCACCCATTATTTCTTTAAAGCTTAAAACTTTTTTTTCTTCTTCCTACAACAGGGTTATTCATAAGAATCAAGAGGATGACTCAGCTCTACCAAAGCAGAGAGGCCCTCTTGTAGATATGATCAGAGCTTGGCTGGCCCAGGCGTCTGCAGAGCAGCTGAAAGAGCTGGTTAAAACCATGAGGGATCCCCAGTTTAGCTCCATAGGAACCAGACTGGAAAGCATCCTTGATGAAATTAAGCAGCAGAATCCTACCTGCAGTCTATAAAATCCGTGTGGGGAGCCTGTGCTGAACTTAAACATCCTTTCTCATAGTGTGTGTTTACTGAATACATATTTTTTACAGAACGCTTTTAAATTTGAATTCATGTGCAGCATTACTGGGAGTACCAGAGGTTATCAGTATTATTAAATGTTTCTATATGCTGGAAAAAAAAAACCCTGTTCATTCTTTGTTTGTGTTTCCTGTATGCTTGGCCAAATTCCCATTTATAAGAGCATAATGATGTATTGTTTTGAATATCCCGGTAAGGTACTGAACTATATTTGTGTCAAAAATAAGCTTTAGAATATTATAAAAGGAATGTAAAACATTTTGTACGTGAAATCAAACTGAATGAATAAGTTGTTCTTGTACAGTAACAAAAATAAAGTTAAAGTTGTTTTAAGTAACTCAGGAATGTCCTGTAACCATATTTGCATACTTTTTTTTCCATAATAATTTTATTATTTTTATTATTTAAAACTTCTTTGAATACAAGATAGGAATCTTCTTCAGCCCAGGAATGATGCAGTACGCTTGAGATCAACTCACCTTAGATTGCAACTTATTTCCATTGTCTTCTACAGGCTTGTTCAGAAAAGACATTTAATATAAACGATTAAAAGAGGTTCAACATGCTGATAGTCCAAAGCTGCTGTAAAATGATGTTTTACGGAAATATCTCCCAGCTTGTCATCATTCTTGAGCATTTTTACATGATAATAATGTTCGGTGTGTGTTCTGGTCCTTTTTCAGCATAAACTGTTTCTCTGCTACTTACTGAAACATAACTTTCAACAAGAGTTCCTCATCAAGTTTATGCACATCTCAAAATGCCAACTTCCCTTCACGCAAGAATAAATTTAACCTTTCCCATGTAAATATCGTGACTCATTTGATAAAAGGAAAACACCCACATATTCAGATGAGTTCCTTGTCTGACTGGAAATACAATCTGATCGCAGAACTTCCACCATCGAAACCCAGTGGCAGAAGTGAAAACATAATGAGTCAGATAGTTATGTTCATTCAGGCTTTAGGAATGAATGAAACTGTATATATTCATATCTCAATTCACAGTCTAACAGTGTTTCTGTTTTGAACCTAAATTAGATTTGTAGAGACATTTTACTATGGAGTTATTTGCATTTTTTTCAACAATGAGCATCAGTCAGGGTAGCAGCTAATGACAGGTTTAATCAAATCACAGGAAACTCACCGTTTCCCTTTAAAGATATCAGTTTTACTTCAGATAACAGTAGCACATATCAATATTGTGTCTGTAGAATGAAAATTCAGTTGAAATTTAATTATTCTAAACACATTTCTTATTTACATTAAAATGTCCGACCTGATTATGCATGCAGGGTGTTTTCTATCTCCATTGGTGATTATAGGGAGCACACTGTTTCTCTGTTGTTGGCAGAAACAACCATACAGTTAAGGGAAACCTAAATTAATCTAAGATATGAAATGTGGGAGGACACTGGAATACGCAGAGAAAAAGCAAACAGACACAGGAAGAATGTGTAAACTCCAAACATAAAGTAACAAAAATAAGACATAAAGGAGTTTAATCCGGTGTAAAAACCCCAAAATGAAGTTTACTTTGTTTTCACCAACTCAGGTCTTAGGTCTTCATATGTAATTGTAATACGTGGACACAAGGTGGCGCTGTTTCACTTCTCTGCGGGTGCCGGAAGTATATGCTTCGAAATGTTGGTATTTTCATTATTCACCAGTCATTGAGAAAGTTGAATGCCAGATTTGGTTTGATCAAGAAAAATCAACAATTCATTTTTCAGCAGGATTTTGGTAGACATGATTTCTGATTTTTTTTCTTCTTTTTTTTTTCTTTTGGTGGAAATGAACTCCTTTTTAATCTACAATGGCTGTGAACCCCGTGTTTTTATACTTGCAGAATATATAATAATTCTGTAAATAATATTTTTAAGGATTTACTGTCTGGAGGGGTCAGTAAGCATACATAACCGCTAGGAGTCACTGTTTCACAGAATCCACCTATGTGGCCCTCTCATTAATAACAGTCTGTCACCACCATCTTCGACGCCCCCTTCTGCCACGCCATGACGCCCCGGCATCGCATCGGCTCCCGGCCGTGGCATCACCGAGCGGGGAGGGGCTCCGCTCAACACGACTGCTTTGCACTGTAATACCGACGGCTTTCCGATAGGGCCGCGGACGAAAAGATGATTCAGAACAGCGGTCCTTTCATGTCCCCGAGGCTCCGGGCTTTGATTTGATTCAAACAATACCTCATTTTTGTTAGTTTTTTTTTCTGCCTTTGTTCTTATTATAAGACCTCGGGGACCGAGGGGGAGTTTCACTAACCGAGAGGAGATGCGTCCACCAAAACGCGGATACATTGTCCGGACAGGAGCGGAGGAGAGGAGCATGTAACCCGGAGAACCGCACCACCGCCACCTGACACTTCTCTAACCCTCTCCTCATTATTCCCCTCCAAATGAAGGGCTTCTCCACGTGTTGACCCAGTTCTCGGCGCTGTTTGGGAATATTTCTCTCCGGGAAAAATGAGCGAAGAATCGTCTGATGTTCCTAAAGAGCTTCTGGGTAAGAACAGACAGTGATTTGTAACCATGTGTCCCTCCTGCAAACAATCACTGATCCCGCTGCTTTATCCCACTCTGATCATTCAGAGTGAGTGACTGTTCATTATGTTCGTTAAAGTTGCGTTATCTTCTTAAATATGCAAACATTTTGTCCTCCACTGACAGCTGTTTCCCTTTTTGCTATTGTGGGGTTTGCAAACCATTATCCCAATAAACGTGCATAATTTGTGCAGAGTTTATCACGTGAAGCTGTTTCTCCATGGAGCTTTGCCACAGAACGCACACGCTCATAATGTGGACTATCTTAGGAGGAAAAGCCAAATAGTTTAGATGTGAGTGGTCTGTCTGTCTGTCTGGGCTGTGCACATTACTCACAGGATCATTTCCCTCATATGGAAAGCCTGGGCCAATCTTCCATATCTGTCCTGGAGTTTCAGCATACATGGCTGCCTCATTATTTCTGCTTTCTTGTGCTTCTTCACTTATTTTTCTTTATTAAAACCTCAGAGTCCTGCAGCTCTTTGGCTGTGATCAAGGTTTCTTTGTTTGGGAGAGTAATTCAGTGTCTGACACCTTGGTGTAATGCTGAGCTGTTTCTCAGAGTTTATTTCTTACAAGCCCAAGAGCTTTTGGCCTCTTGGGCGTTGTAGAATATCATTGAGATTTCTTTCTTTCTATCTGTTCTGCTGATTCTACTCTATTCACTCCCCCAAACTAACAGCAGAGCCAAAGTTATGCAACAACTGCCATGATAAATGTTTTTTTTAAACCCTGCAGAAAGAAGGACCAAAGACAAGAGAAGATTTCAGAATGATCTTTAAATCTGAGCACTGAGAATCTAAGGATGTCTTAATCAAGAGGTTTCCCTCTTGATTAAGGCAGAAACTACAACCGCACATTATGTTAAAATGACAATCGTCATCATAGTTTCAGAGTGCGGTGGCACAATTGTAACGTTAGTAAAATGCAGCAAAAATCTGCAATCAAACAAGAAAAATTGTTGAATAGGCTCTCGTTGCCCCTGATGACTAAACCTTTCATAGACGTTAGAAATTGAAATGCTAAAGTTGCAAAGAAATCAAAACGAGATAAAGGAAAGAAAAGTGAAGAAAATCAGCTTATTTGCAATAATATCCCAATTGCACAGAGTCAAGGGAAAAACAAAGAAAAGGAACTTTAAATTTCTGACAAAGGGAAGCTAAACTTCCACTGGTTGTTTTTACTACAAAAGGTGCCATTCATCCAGTGTCTGCCATGTGATTGGCAATGGAACAGGTGTATGTAATAAAAAGGGAGGTAAGTGCAATTGGTGGTTGTGATATTTTTTTTTCTATAGAAATAGTTTCAGTACTTTTGAGGTACTTTTTATACAAGTACATCAAACATTTGAAGTAATCAACTTTGTTGCACCTAATGTTTGCAACTTTGACTTTTATTATTGGAATTTCTTGAAACTCTTGTTGATTTATTGACCCCATTCTTTACTTGTTCTGTATAAAATCTAGCAAGCCATGACTCCTGAGTCATGAGGTGTTGTCTGGAGAACTAGACCCAGTCATTGTTTACAGCCATGCTGCCTGTGATTTAACATCACGCATTATCCTTCATGCATCCCAAAGAAGAAAATCCTTCACGATCCGTTGACTGAACTAAATTGATGATTTCAGCTAAGTTACACCAGAACTTTCCATATCCTCTTACACATCTTTCATAACTAGTCCTTAGGCCAACTAACTTTTATCTTAAAGTTTTAAGAAAAAACACATTTTCGTGTCTCTGGGACTCAATTTTTAGTAGAGAAGAAGTCATCACGGCTGATTAGATCGGAACAAATTTTATGCAATTTGCAGCGTCACACTGTATCTAACAGAGATAATTGGGATATTTTTGTGTCATCTCTGCAGTGAAGAATCAGTTTGATCTCACTGTGTGGTTTTTTTTTTTTGCATGGCCTGCTTCAAAGGGTATTTGTGCTCTTATTATGGAGACACGTTTCTGTTAGATGGATGTGAAGAAGAGTGATGATCAAGCAAAGTTTATATATGTCAGAACACAGATTTCTTGTTTTTCAATTCAACCTGTCTCTATATAAATATATAGTCACTTCTCTCCTTGTGAAAACCTTTCATTATTGTTTTTTTGGCTCAATTTCACAACTCACAGCCATGTCTGAAGACAAGCATATAGATTTTAGAAACCACTTACACAGAAGCTGTCTGTGTAAGTGCTTCAATCTCAAAAAATAGACCACCATGTTATGAGTCAACCAGGTGATGACAAACAAATCCATAGCACAATTTAAAGCACTTCTACCCTCACTTTCTTCATTTTACATCAGTGTTCTTGATGCAGGAACACCCATCACACTGTTTTCAAAACTTTCTTGATTATACCAAAGACTAATGGAAAAATATTCTGTGAAATGACTATAAAATTTGACTAGTTGTGGGTAATGTGTTACCAGTGACATCAAGCAGAAAACTAATGCAGAGTTTCAGAAAGAAAGTCATACTGACATTCGAACATGGTGTTGGCTGTGTGATGGCCTGAAACTATTTGTTGTTTCAGGACCTGAGCTACTTGTTGTAACTGAGAGCACAATGAATTTTCTTTTTACCAGAAAATAATGAAGCTCACTTAAGTTTTGCAGCAGGATGACAGTCCTCTGGATGACTCAAAGAACATCTATTCATGTCTGAACAGTTTATCCAGGCTCTACATGTGACTTTGGTGTCATATTTCATTAAGATTTTGTTTTGAAGTTAATTAATTGACAGAACAACCACATTTGACAAACCACTAGATGTCTTCTGCATGTAATCCCAAGATGGCCAGACTCGTGAACTCAGCTCACCTCCATATTTTACTTTGTGCTTGTTCAGATGCAATTCCCCTGAGGATTAGGATGCACATTTGGTGATGTTTATTTTTGAAAGCTTCAGGCTGGCAGATTAACTATTCTCGCCTTCTACCTAATTATTAGTGTTGCTTTGATCTGATGATGGTAGGTGGAGGCCTGGAGGCGGGGATGTGTGCATGCCAATACAGATGTGCGCTCCCAGAAACACTCCTCGTGTCAGACGCGTGCACAGACTGTTGGAAGTCAGCTGTGATGCGTGTGTGAAGTGAATGCATAGTGTGAAGAGTTGGTTGACCCAGTTATACGTTTTAAACCGGCTGTATGGTTGATGATGGACCTACTGGGTGTGTACCATGAATTTGAACAGAAAACCATGTCTCATGTGTCTTTTTGTTTGCATCTAATTTCTTTTATATATACATAAAAAAAAAAAATAGGTGTGAGTCACATAGGGGGCTCCAGGTATACGAGGGCTAATAAATCCACTAAACTAAACTGTCATGATGTTTAAATTCCTTTTCAAGAAACTTCAAAGTGACCAAATTTACTATGACAATGTTGTTTATGCCAAGACATTTCTCATTCTTTATCTACACCACTCTTTTGCTAAAGTTAACCTTAACCTTGAAAGTAGAGTGTTCTTCTTCACTAATGGTTACATGCATAGTCAGTGAACCACAAGTACAGGCCATTTACTATTTCTGGTCTGTTTTCTGGTGACCATACACAATTTTCCACATGTGTATGGAAAGCAAAACGTCCCTCCCTGCACACTTGTCTTGGAAATTAAAATTATTCATTGTCTTTCTGATTGCCAACGCATATATTTTCTCATCTAGGAAGTCCTTGATTTAAGTCTTGTAATTCTATTATTTTTAGGATTCTGGAGACTGTATTTAGACTCTATAAGTCGACTTTCAGGATGAACTTTCTTGAACAGGTAAACCTGGAAATGGTGTTTTGAATTTCTTTGACTTTTCATATCATTGCTTATTGTATTTTTTTTTCTTTTTCTTTCTTACTTCTTTCAATCCCTCCCAACCTTTTGGTCTCCATGTTCCAGATTTTTCAGCTTCTGATTCGTCTGGAATGAATAGTACAAGTCATTTTGTTTTACACCTGACTAGAATCGGCTTGCCATTTAAACGCAGCTTCAAACAGTCGCAGTGCTAGTTAAGCATTCATCTTATATGAGAATGCTTGTAAATTAAAGGTACAACATATCAGAATTCTGTTGGTAGGAATTTAAGTATATTTCTCAAATATATTAGTTATTTTAAAAAAAAAAAGCAGGTGACTTTTTATGTCTCATTCACTGAAAACTCCACAAAAATGTTCCCACACAGGTCTGGGAACTTAAATGAGAACTACTAAAAATACTCAATTAAAATTGGATTTGATAAATTCTTCATTGAACATCTAGTTTTTCTAATTAGCAAATATGGGGAATCCTCGACTTGACAGATTTTCCTCATAAGTTTCACTCTCTTTTCATTTTCTTTCTTGTCCCATATGTAGAGAGCGTGAGGGACGCGGTGGGGAGGAAGGTGAAGTTGTCACTGAGGAAAAGAGTCAAATTGGAAATCAAAGGAGACAAGACGGAGAACAGAGTTTTGGTGAGTCAAATTTTACTGCTGTTAAAGTTCATTATCGCTTGTAAAACCTTTCAATGTTATAAAATGTCATAGTGCTTTTCGTAAAATGCATAGTTTTGTTTTGACAACACAAACTTTCTCTTTTCTAGCACTACCAAGATTCTTACCTCCCAAATTAGCAACAAACATTTCAAAGTACCTTTTATAATATATGAGACAAGTTGAAAGATAAAAATAAAAAATAACAATTTTTGAGCTTTTACTCAGCTAAGTTTTCCTGTTATCTTCCAAAAACATTCCTGTGTCTTGCAGACTGAAATTACCACAGACTGAAATGTTGTAGAAAATGTGTTGATTTGTAAAAGGTACATAATGTCTGGGTTTCCAACAGTGAGGTTGTTTAAGAAAAGCCTCAAAATGGTTCTTGTTGAAAAGAATAGGGACGAACAGGGGTGATGGATTTGGACTGGTAAAAAAGCACTGTGGATTGGTTGAGATTGGATGTGTCGGTTTCTGTCTGTATTTATAGGTATGTCTTTACGTATATGTATTATTTATGTATGCGTGCATGTGTTTGTGTGTGTGTAGTCATATGTATTATTTACATCTGGTTTAGGAACTCTGATTTAGAAGGAGAACAGAAAATGGGAAGATTATTCATGTCATGAACTACAGGATCAAATAAGTGATGATTTTGTGTCTAATTGTGAATGTATGTTTGGCAATAGGGTGTTGCATTTACACCAAGGAACTATGTAAAAAATTTATTTTTGTTTTTTTCTTGGAATGTCTGACATAAATTCAGCAATTCAAAATTCAAACAGGTCGCCCCCATCAAGCTTAACTTGAGTCCGATCGAGTCCTCTCTGCATTTCTATTTTCAACAAAACTGCAAAATTGGATGGCATTTGCTTTCCAAGAATTGAAGGTAATGATTATACAGCTCAGTAATATGGACATAAAGATACCTTTTTATACTTATTGGCTTTATTTAAATGCCATAGAGAGTTGTGGTGTTTGGGACAGTCTTGTCTAAACCTTTTAATTCACTTACTTGGTCAGTATTTTCTTCAAGTAATAAGAGCTCTGTGGTTAAACATCAGCCCTCAATGTGTTCAAAGCAGATGAAAATGACTGCTTCGTTTACTACCTTTTGGTAATTATATATAAACTGCTGAATAATTGAGTCTTGGTTGGTGATTAAAAATGCATATTGGCTCCATCTGAGAGGCCAAAGGATAATAAGATGATGACGCTTAGGAGTCAGCAGCTCCTTCAGTAAATTTGTGTTTCGACAGCGTCTATAAACTTGACAAACTTGTTGCTGTTGAGATTTACTGTAATGTGCTTGTGTCTGTCAACATGATAGAAGCCTTTTAGGTTTGCAAGTCTCAGTGGTGAAGGGAAATTTTAGTTTTATTGCACTATATGGAATAAACTGTTTGGAAAAAGAGCCTCATAGAGATTAAACCCAGACAGCCAAGGTCTGCTTCAGACATATCTTTGCCATCAGTATTGAATGCTTTAGGAAACCTAAATATTACTTTTTGGAAGATGTCTACAGGGACCAAGAACAGAGAGAGATGAACGTAATTAGCCTTATTTTCTCACACCCTCTTTGCTAAATGATGTGGGAAAAAGACTGAGGTGAGAAACACCAGAGCTGATCAAGTTTCCTCAGAAGGCCTTCAGATACCAGGCAGTGGGAAGCTTAAACCTGGTCTACGATGTTTATTTTGTGATGCCAGCTGAAGCTGCCCAATTATGGAAAATCAATTATGATCATGATTAATATTGGTGTCTTTTGAAATCACTTGCTGAAATAATTATTAATGTAGTTGGACAAACAATGCATGACCTAGAAGAACAGCTTCTAGGTCATGCATTTCCCCAGGTAGTTTTATGTTGAAACTTTGTCTTAAGTAAATGAAAAACATATTTACGCAAATATATATAAATGGCTTGTAAAAAGTAAAAATAAGTCAGCATGTTTTATTGCCCTTCAACAATCTCTTACATACAAAATACTGAATTGAATTTAAAGTGTAATATACTGTAAACTACTAAAAAAATAAATCATTGCATTATTTCAGCAAAACAACTTTTCTTTGATTGTATCGCTGCTTCTGGTGCCTCATATTTATTCATTTAAACTCTGGCTAAATATATTCGGTATATTTTTAGCTGCTCGACTCACTTTGTGTTTCAGCTTCAGGTTGTTGGTGTAGTGCTTGGGAGCTTTGCTTGCATATTTATTCCCTTTCTCTCTCTGCTCACTTCCTGCAAAAGACACCACGACCACATTTTATTGTTTCCAAAAATCTAGTAGTTGAAGAGTTTCTTTGTAATTCTGAATGATGCTGAAACAACAGAGTAGTAAGTGGTGAAATGAACACCCACAGAAAGGAATTGACATCACCTTACTATCTGCTAATATTGCACTTTTGAAACCACCGTTTCTTAGTATTCTTATTTTCTGCCGCAATTATTACCTTACCACCACTTAACACCAATGTTCATAGTTTACCAACAGTATTTTTAAAATTGCAATAACTCAACAGGAGAGACAGTTTCTTTCCACACCATGACTGTCTGCATTTGTTGATGCAGAAAGTCCTTCCTAACTGCTGGTTTTATGTTTCTTGTGCGCAAAGGAAAATTGTAGGAACTTTCCAACGACCAGCTGACTGCAAGTATGCAGCAAATAGCACTGTGTCCTTTATATAGTTGGAAAAAACAACAACAAAAAAATCCTCCGGTCACTACAGTAAGTTATCTAGACCTCATTAAAATAATTCACAGCCAACAGGAATGCAGTGATGAAAAGCATATTAAGCTCGAAGTCCTTGATGCTGGTTATCCAGCTCATGCTCACACACACCTCAATCAAACAATGAATGTCCCACCTTTTAAGGGTGGTTTATTATAAAAAATGTTTTAACTCATATTGATAAGTCAGTAATGATTTATTCATTATTTTTATTTTCAAACGATACATTTTGATGCCTGAAGTCCCTGGTATTGTGGCACTTTTTCTTTCATTCCCTAATGTTGTCCATCTTAGCTTTTGGTTTCAACTTAAGTTAAAATGGGCATCACAGCTTCATTATGTGGGAGCAGGACACAGAGGCCATAGTGGTGCATGCACTCTCTCAGACAAAAAAATGTAGTGGAGTGGGAGTGGGGACTTGGAAGTGAGGAATGCCAGTGGAGCGGCTGTGGTATTTCATCCTGACGCAGAGCAGGGGTTTGTATCAGTGCTCCGCTTGACTGAACTGGACAAATAAACCCCTGTTTGTTGTTGCAGAGAAGCTGAGTTTGAAGGGGCAATTTTGGAGGAAGCCGCTTGGAGGGAAAACAAACTCGTTGTTGGGCTGTAACCTGTTAGTGTTGGGGTAATGAGACATGATGAAAGAGTATTTTATTTACAGATGGTTTGGAGATCAGAGGTTGTGATCAAACGGTAGTTTTAAGAGTTTCTCAGGGGTCTAGAGACAGGATGCAGCCAAGCTTCGGAAGGGTCAATTTGTTTTTCCCTTCTCATGGAGATAACCCAATGTCCTTTTTACAAAAGGACCTCAACAACATCACAAATGAGTTAAATTGCCTAATGACAAAGAAAATGGAATAACATATTTGATAATTGGAGCATATATGCTATTTCCCTATTACAAAGGATAAAACATGCAGTTTTAAGTGAATAGAAACAATGTATTGATTGTTGAGACTCTTTGTGTTGTTATTCATCCACTAGCAATAATGGTTGCCACCTAAATGTGTATCTGTATATCCTCTGATTTCATCATCAAATAATCCTGAAAATGACTAACAGTAGGTCTTCCCACAGTGACAACTTCCACACCTTACAGCAACCCACCTGTATGGTGCTTTCATTGATTAAAAACAAGCGCTATAAACTTCTGACCAAGAGGTCAGATTGAAAATTAGCTGACTCAGGTCTTCAGCCAATTACTTGCCGTATCTCTAACTTCAGCAAATGTATCTCTATTCAACCATATCAATTCACGATAAAGCTGCACACACACGGCTGTGAAAATATAGATTTTTTTTTCCTAAATCAATTTTCCTATTTCAAACATTGATAGGCCCTTCTCTCTTTGCCTTGGAGTGGAGCACCCAATACCTGAGGCGTCTCTTAAGCCCACTCAATCTTGATGGATACAGTAGTCACTCTCCTTTAAAGACGAAGGAATGAAGGGCAAGGTGATAATAACATCAGTCTATCAAACACACCGTGGGGAAGTGGATGAATGGAGACAGAGGTAAAAGAAACATCAAAATAGTCTGTAGAGGACTCATGCATGGAAGGGGGATGAGGTTGAGATGAGAATCATCATGAAGTATAAATTTAGAGTATTATTAGTTTGGGAATAAATCGAATGTGGTGTTAAACTACAAACACACAATATGAAATCTTGTCATCTTTTCCTTTTCCCTCACCAAACTATTTGAAGGAACAGGAAAAATAAAAATGGCCAGTATCTTTATTTTATGATGGTTACTTGTTTCATTTATAAGAACCAATAATCTTGTTTTGTCCTTTATGGAAGATTTCTATGTGAAGTGGATAAATTATGAAAAATTATTCTTTAAACCCTCCTGTTGTCTTCGGGTCATTTTGACCCGAAGACAACAGGAGGTTATTCTTATTTTTTTCGTCAAGTTCACATTTGAATTGCTCCAGCAGAAAATTCTATCTGAGTTGTGAACACTGTAGGTCTGATTCAGGACTGTTAGATTTCAAGTTTCTGTATGCAGTTGCAATTAAAAAAATGTTTTATAAGGGCTTGTCCTCGGGTCATGTCAACCCGAGGGCAACAGGAGGGGGGGGAAATTTGAAAAGATATCAGTTTTACGGAGATCAGTGATGCCATTCCATACTGTTTGCCTGTCCAGCTGTAATTTCCTTAGTCTTCCGGTCAGTCTGACCTGAAGTCTGGGTTTGGTTATCTTTATTTCTTTTGTAAAGTTCACATTTGGATTGCTTGAGCCTAAACTTC